AGTCTCAACAACAGCAACCACTACCGCCGCCGTTGCCATTTCAACAACAGCCGTTGTCACCACTCTCTCAACATCATCATCATCAACAAACACCGCCACCACTGCCTCCTCAACAGCAGCCACGTCCGCCACCACCACCACCTCAACATCTCCATCAACAATATCTACAACATCAAGGGGGACAACCTCAATACCAGCAAGGGCAACCACAGCAGGTCTTACAAACTCAACCTCAACGACCACCATCGCAATACGGACAACCTCTTCAACAATATCAACAACCACCGCCTCAACAGCAATATCAACAACCCCCGCCTCAACATCCATATCAACAACCACCGCCTCAACATCCATATCAACAACCACCGCCTCAACATCCGTATCAACAACCACCGCCTCAACATCAATATTCACAACCACCACCACCACAACAACAACAGCCACCACCGCTTCAACCACCTCCAAAACCCGTTTATTCCTATTATCAGCACCAAAACTTTCATTGAGTGGATTGGGCGAGGAAGAAAGGATAATTTGTTGGTATTGTCTCAAGCATTCATATTTCGGAAGGATTACAATGGTTTTGCTGAAATTGGCTGCGTGTATTAGATAGAGATCCAGGTGACATAAGCTTGGGTCCAACTTTATTTTATGAATAAATTTATTTTATGAGTAAACGTATAAATAAAGTATTTTAAAGTGCAATAGATAATACCGCTTTTATGACATTTGGCCAAAATAATAGAGGAAAAGTATGCCAAAAGGTTATTTCCCCGTATTATGAACGATTGCAGTCGGATTTTTTTCACGAGTGTTTAATCAATCGAATTGTCGAAAACAATAACATGCTTGTCACTTGCTATCATTTAATAATGGACAGGACTTTATGTTTACTGGTTTTGTAACTACAATTGCAGGATTTTTTATTCTGCGTCTATTTTAATTTGGATGAAAAGTTTACAAATGTATGTGTGATATTATTTATCTCTAAAATACGATATTTCTTATACACAACATTTACACGTTAACCGTCGTACCCTCTCTTGGATAGTCACAATACTTGTCTGCTATATAGATTACTTGGAAGATGCCTATTAAAAAAAAATAGTATTAGCAAGAGTCTGTGTCGAATACAATATTATCTATTCATTACTTTACCTTCTTGTGATACGAATAACGAATGTTTATGTCCACGAACATTGGTCACTGTCTGAGTTTCCAGCACACGGCCTGGTTTACCTTTCGGCAAAATTTCGCTTCGAGTATACGTGAATCTGAACGGAGGATTACCTGCAAAAGCAATAACCGTAGTGGGATAATTTAGTAACGAACAAATGAGGTGACAGTGATAACGTTAATACATTACCTATGAATTCAATAACAATTTCGTCTTTTTCACCTTCACGTATATCACTGATGGTTTCTTTCCCAGAGGAGATAATAGCGGTAGGCAAATCATATATGACCTCTGACATTCCCTTTGGATGACCGCAACACTGTTCGTTCAAATGACACACACTCGTGATAGTCACGTTCCCAGGCCGGTCAGCTCCAAAAGTATAATCTGGAGTATTGGATACCACATTCTTCTTCTCTCCATTGTAAGTATAATGAATAACCCACGGTGGAGTGCCTTGTAATTGATATACCAATAGATCACCCACGCAGTGAATATCCTGAGGAATCAATCTTTGGATACTGGCTACATCATTAACCTCTACTCTCAATTTACTCTCTTGCGAATTTTGTTTTCGACTGCATCCCTGCGCATCGATAACCTTTACTATAGCAATCGAGTAATTACCGATTGCCATAAACTTGGGTGGTACGTACGTGTACACTTCATCAGCGATATTATGGATTACTTGCGTATCGATACGATTACTATTCTCGTTCTTTGTCTCGACAGTCAGACTGAATGGCGGAATGCCTTTGAGTTGAATCTTGGGTGATTGTGAAAACGGTAGAGTCTCGCCTACACATTGATTAAACGTTTTGTGTTGGATAAAATGAGCAGTCGGATTGGATATAATTATTTGCCGGAGCGTCAACGATATCTCGTTTGGTAATGTGTATACGTCATCAGCTATTGTTTTGAATTCGTAGGTATGGGTGCCGGGAGACTCTGTCAATAGTCGTATACGAGTCGATGGGAACCCAATGGTCTCGCGCTGCGGTATGGGCTCTCCTTCGCCTGTTATTTTATATGATATTATCCATGGAGCGCGGCCACTAAGAATTACTCCTACGCTATCTTCTGTGCCCTCGCATACTGGTTTACGTTCGTAGTAATTGGGCACGTCCAGCAAAGTTGCTTCGCCATCAGCTATTCGCAGTGTCGGCTGTGGTAACCATTCGGCGCGAATAAATCGCATACTTTCGATAACTTCGCCGGTACAAAATGAATCTTTGACTGATAATAATTCGTACAAGCCAGGTAATGTGACTGTTACATGAGCATTTGGATCTTTGAGATTGCGAGCTGTCATGCGCGCCTTGCTACTGACATTGAGGGATCCGTATTCAATATCCCATGGTGGATGGCCTGTCAGCTGTAATGGGAGGTCTATCCTGTCTCCTTCGATAAACTTCATCGCTTCGCCATCAGTTCTGAATCCGACGGTTGGTCTATCTTTCTTTACGTGTATTGTGATATCATCTGATGCATTGAGACTGTTACTGCAGCCTTTCGCGTCAGTTACTCTGACCAGCGTTACAGTATACGTCCCGGGGTTATCAAATGGAGGAGAACTAATAACATGACTAAGACTTTTGATATCGCCAACTGTGAACGTGTTTTTCCTTCTATTAAATACGACCTCATACCTACATAGAGAATTTTATCACAGATAAATGTGTGTTTATGCACAGTGAATTACGGACAAAGACATTTTATGTCTACTCACTCCAACGTAAACGGTCCACTTCCTGAAAAGTCAACGTCCAGTTCGACATTATTCCCAACGCACGTATTCAATTCCTTTCCATATGTGGTTCTGAATGTTGCGTCTGGTTTGGGGTGGACTACTTGGGTAATCCTGTGATCAATATTCACGCCCTCGTCATAGAATCCGTCCCTTAAAAGGAAGAACCTGTATTCATGGCGACCAAACGTCTTCGGCATGATGGTAAACGTATGCCTCGACTTGAAGATTTTCTTAAAATCAGTTATTTCACTAAGCTTTGTGGTTATGGAATAGTGTAATGACCTAAATAAAGGTGTAATAAGTAAGAGGAGTGAGTGTTGTCTCTGTAAACGTAGTTTCCGGGTCTTTTTCATGATCTCTGTAGTATCCAACCAAATAATCATATTTACCATGGTGGAGTCCCGGTGAGCGATACAGTAATCTCTTGTCCTATTTCACCAGGGCAATCGATCGCTGGTATAGGTACTGCCTCTATCTTCACTGACGGCGGTTGTACTTCAATTACGATACAACTAGATGGAACGAGAACTTGCCCAGAACAGAAGGTATCTGAAATCGATAACAACTGGTACATTCCGGGCTTGGAAACGATAATAGAAGTGTCTTTATTTGGTAAAAACTTTATTGTTTCAACTTTATTAGGAGCCGAAGAGTCGCCGTCTTTAGCCACATCTTCTGCCCAGTAACCAGTCGTTATAGACCATGGTCCTAATCAGCAGCGTAATAGAGTGAGTACATTTACATCATTATTGTAACAAGTGACAACAAATTTTCATCCCACTCTCATCTATCTTTCACACCTTACCTTCTCCGCCAAGTTCCAATGACAAGTTTGTCGATTTTCCTGGCCTTACTTTTACCGTGGAATCGGATAATAACTTTGCATATGGTCGAGGATGCACGAGGAACATCACAGTATCGTCTTGTAAGCTTTTCCCACTAAATGTCCTGGTATTATTTAATCCATCCTGAATATCAATCAACTTTAAAATGTAGGTTGCTGCCGTATCAGCTGTTAGATTCAGTGGTACTTCTACTACTCGATTGCGCGCCCAAGTATAATCATGTGACACAACCTGTTCGCCCATAATGGGCGAAACATAACGATCGGGGGCTACTCCACTAATTGTCATATTGATGCCAACGTCGTCGACTAGCCTCTCATATCTGACGTTGAATGGCGGCACCCCCTGCAAAATTAAATCGACATTGATGTCATCGTCAATGCATCGGTCCGAACTGTGTCTGGCAACAAACTTTGCTATCGGACAATGAGAAATGATAACTTCGTTTCTGTAAGTCTTGATGTTCATGTTATCCTTGTCCCACGCCTGTTCAAGTCTATATACCCCGGGATGATCGATTGGAATGTACACTAGGTAGGTATTAGCAATCTCGTCGCTTGTTAGTCTCTTCTGTAATAGTTTCCTGGTCATATTAATATGTGTCTTTTCGTTCGTATCCGGATCTATGTGTGAATACTCTAACTTCCAGGGTTTGGAGTTGTTAAACAATACTGGAACATCAACTTCGACGCGTGGAACGCGTTGCAAACAGAATTTGTCGTCATCGGGATTGAGTTTTGCGGTGGCATAAGGAAGGAAGCGGACAATGTGTTTCCCCTTGATATGTGACGAGTTGTGTCTCACCTCTGTAAGTTTCATAAAGGAAGAAAAATAGCCAAGCAATGAGTGCAGAGTGACAAATTAACATGTAGTCAACACAAGGTGCGGAAATGTTATTAAATCAAACGACGAATCAGAAATCTATATAAAGACGAGAACGCACCATCTATTTTGATAATTCCCTGTGAGCTTATGGCATGAACCCTTTCACCAAAGAACCTTTGGTATCCTGATGTTACTTATTTGGCGATAATTGAGCGTTAGTATAAATAAAGGAGATTCTCAATTTTCCTCATTACTCTGCTCATTTACTCACAAAACGTAGACGACGACGACAGTACGCTTGTGACGGGTCTAGATGTTGTCCATTCAAGTATCTATCATTCAGAAAGGCCTCAGTCGGTAAATAGATTTTCAATTCATGAAAATGAACGCGTATTCTTCGTTATACTCACCCAAGCGGGATGTACTATAGAATAATTAACAAGACATAATAGCAATATGAGCAAAACAGTCTTAAATAGACTTGGTCTAAGCCAGGGTATTCTCAGATAACGTACAATTATAACAAAAGTTATATCCAGCAAGTACCACCACCATATACCCAAAGGTGTAGGCCGCGGAGATATAAGCAATCGCCCCAACTTAATACTCCATAATCCTACAAGCACACAGAATGCATAGTATCTCTGTGTAGGAGGGTCTATCCATGTTATGAGGGGAGGAAGTTCTGTGGGTGGAGGTGGAGCTCGACGGAGAAGATTCCGTGTGTCTGTCATTTGTTTTCATAGGACGTAAAAACACCGTATTTTCATATTTATAGGTGTCGAGGAATTTTTTGATCAATGGATTAATTAGGGAGGCTTCTAGATTGATCGCAACCAACAACAATGGCACGACTATGTGACACGGGGATGTAATACTATTACTATACTAAAACAATTAGACATCGTTATTGTCTTCTCCTCATTTATCTGGACAATCCCATACTTCTTACACATTTGGTTCCTTTCCTCCCTGATATCTACATGCATCCATAACCTGCTTCAACATAAATCTTTCTTTCTTTTTTTCTTTCTTTCTCTTGGGCATCAACATTTAAAATTAACCTATCATCTATCCAGCTGTTTCCTCTTCTCTATCACTATATTCATCTAATTGGCCCATTTGCCACATTCTTTATTGCATCTCTGTTCCTCTGACAAGAGTCTGTTGTATCATGTTAAAATTAACCGTAGTAACTGAACAATAAAGTTTTTTATGGTCTTTCTCCGCGTTTTTAATTGTTACGACGTGATTAACGTGAATGTGGTACACGTTCTATGTCCTTGCAGAAAATAAGAATATTCCGCTTACACGTAACCATATCCGTAGACTGCATTCATTGCCTATAGCGAACAGGTAAGAAAAGACATTACGCTATTAATTGTGAGTACTACACTATAAATGTATAGCAATAGTAATAGACCATGTGTCGTGTGTGTGCCTTATTTACAAAAAGCAATCAACATTTGATATTAATTAATGTCACTAATGGATTTTTTTACTATAATTGAATACTCCTGCATAAAATGGTTTAACGACAAAGCGGATTTATTATCTGTTTAGGGTATTTGTCACACACGTAATAGCTCTACTATTAGCTTGCATTTCCGTACGAGTTTGAAGTTAGAAATCTAACGTAAATTACAATAATTACTAATAAATATTACTTGAAACAAGAAAATTATTTTTGAATTTTATTAACTTTTTTTAATAACCAACATGTGATATAAAAACTTTTCTCAATTTTTATAATCTAATCATATTAACCTCTTTTTACATTCTTCTATATTACATGCAAATCGTAGATAGTTTGAATATCTTTTAGTAGAAAACTCTTTCACTACACTCTTTACTCGCTCGAGACATTTGTCACCAAGTGAATCAATATTGGTATCGACTCTCAAAATTCTTATTGTATCACTAAGATAATCAAGTATTACATCAAGATGTTCACCAGTAGCATTTTCGCCAAAGATTGTTAATGTCTTTAGTGGCGGGTGAGATTTAGACAAAAACTCTTTTAGAGAATCAACTTCAAAATTTTTGTTATTATTATTATTATTATTATTATTATTATTATTATTAGCGTTACGATTACAATTGCAAAACAAGATTAAATGATCTAAATGTGGAAGATGACATTTAGAAAAAATATCAAAAAGATGTGTATAGTTGTAATTCGAATATAGACATTGAATCAGCTTGAGAAAATGCAGAGTTGGCAGGCTTTTTATTGTATGCGCAATAAAGGGTAATTGCTCGTTGCTATACACATAAACAGATAGATGTCTGAGATTGTGGCATGTTTGCGATATGACTTCAAATTTTCTCTCAGACATCCCTTGTCCAGACACATTAATATCAATCAATTTCTTTCCGTGGTAAAATAGCAATCGTTCCCAAGCCATACACGGTATATGACAGTAATCGACACTTAACCGTTGTAGCAATGGTAATCCGGCCATAGCAAGTGAATTCAGTCCATTCTCGCATAATATTTTACAGCCATTCATGGTGATATTCTTCAATTGGTTTAATTTAACTGGTTTAAAAAGTAAATGATCAGAATTGAATTTTACTTCACCAAAGTATATCGATTCGAGAGACTCGGACCGTGATTTCAGCAGGTCCAAAATTGATTCCATGTTGGTAGAAACATTATGCACTTCAATAGCCTTTAATTGGTTTTGGGAGTCTATGAGCCTGCGCAGACTGTTACTTGATTCCTCGTTAAAATAATAATAGTTTTTTCTTTCAAAGTTGATTGATAAAACTTCCAAATTATGTGCTATATTTGAAAACTTGTCAAGTATTTCCAAACATAGATCTCCTCTCCACGTAAAACGTCTCAGTTGGGGAAGACTTTTTATAGAAACAAGGAGCTGATCCAGATGTAGCCAAGGAGCTTCAGTGGATTGTCGTGCAAGATGAATTGTTCTTAGTTGCTGACAATACTGAATGGCTAAATAAACAATTCTTACAGCTATTGTTTCAACTTCTTCCATGATATTTGTATCAAGCCAGAGAGTAACAAGAGCAGCAATTGCGGGTGAGGAAATCGTTTTCAAGTATAAGCTATAATCAAACGGCGGCTTTTTACTACATCTTCTTCTCAAGAGCTTGGAACTTCCCTTGACAGTGTGGATATCGGTAAAACATTCAATAAACGTAATCAATAGGTTTTTTGCTCTATTTCGGTTGAAAGATTTCGAGTGAAGCAGTAAAAAGGGATTGGCCCAGAGATGTTGAATGGCTACACTATACCAAGCTTTGTTGATTAGAATACATGAGTAAAGAGCACCGCAATCATCAACACATTCATTCAAAATAATCCCAAGAATCTCGTAGGGTAAAGCAGCAACCATTGCTCGAGGTAAAAGGTACAGAGAATTGATAGTTGTACGTGGAAGCTTTTTATCTTATTCCCGGAGGTATTCGGCTCTTAGTGTAACTACCTGCTTATTGGTCATGACACTTTTTGATTATAGGCAATTGGACGAATCGATTGATATTTATAAAGCTCATGTAAGTCTGATCGTTTATATGCATAAACAAAAATACATGTGGACGAAAAAGTAAATAACTGAACGGATATTATGTATTAATCTTACCTCTGCGCAGTTATCTGCAGACAGTCACGAGTGCGCCTTGTGCTCAGACACAAAGTTGATTTGGTAATATTCATTGAAGGCGCAGGCTATCAAAACTTAATCAATTTTTTTATCAAATAGTGTCGCACATCTAAATTTACTATTATTGAATGAAACTACATTTGTCTTGTGTATGCATGTATAACAAACCTAATGCTAAAGTATACGCTGGTTATATTTGATGTTCGCTTACACATCTAACTATAATGACCCAACACAGTGGCACTAATTCAGCTAATAGTTTCAATATACAACAATAGTAAATGCTAGATATCTGTTGTTTCGTTTAACGTTCTGCTGGCAAGTTTAGGAATCTAATACCACAGATATTCAATTGATCCGGCATCTATCTTTTGTGTGGATTGCAATTTGCTTTTACTTACGGTTCTTAGAATTTTGGATTGGAGTAACTTGCCTTTCTATAACAAGCAATCTATATAGCAAATCCCGCGGTACAAGAGATTCTATAATAATAAGGCCAATCAAAACCTTTTGATATATAAAAAGTAACAGATTTGTTTCAAACTTTAAATAATTGAACCCACCAAATATAAAGTTGGTCGTCTATATACAAACAATGTGTTTGATCATTTGGATGAGTACGACAGTATAAAATTTTGTATCAGCGTAGCTAAGTTTAAAAACCGGCATATTGGTTTGGCAAAAGTCAATTCATTGGCTTCAATTTTACACATAATGGTAAAACTAACACGTAATATTTGCATTCACATGTTGGTATTTTCAAACTGTATGGTTAAAAGGGTTTGCACGATATCCGGATTGCAATTCTAATTATCGCCCTAAAAATTTATAATAGTGTTTTATGACAAAAACCTTATAAGTTTCATATTTGTGAATAATAAAGTAAATTCTCATGTATGTAGCAATATTTAAACGCCATATGAAAATATATGATTCAGTGTACTGGGGCAGTTTATATAGTGTTTGTAACAAAACCAAAAAATTATTATTAGTCAGGGGAAATGTCCCTAGTACAGGGGTTAGCAATTGTGTTGATAGTAGTTATTGGCATGTCGATCGCAAAATT